CAGCCGTTGGTGCCACTTCCACTTTATGTCTCAAATTTGTTCAGTGTGCTCTCTGGCTGTAGGGTAAACTATAGCTCCCAATATGGCGAGTAAGTCCCCTCACACCCCTCCAGCAGGTTGAGTTAGTCATGGCGGTTCTGTGTGCCAGGTTTGGTCCAGGTCCATCATAGGTGGAGGTCACCATTTCTCTGGTTGTGGATGAACTACAACTCCCAGGAAGGAACATCACTTCCCCCAAACCCCTCCAGTAATCAAATTTGGGCATATCAGGTATGTGTGCCAAGTTTGGTCCAGATCCATCAATGTTTGGGTTCACAGTGCTCTTTGGATATAGGTGAACTACAACTCCCGCAAATCAAGGTGAATTTTCCCCAAAGACCTCCAGTATTTTTGCTTGTCATGGGGGGCTCTGTGTGTGAAAATCAGAAGAGTAAATAAAGAACAACACTAAGAAAAACGAAGGGAATGCCAAACAAGGAACAATCAGGGTGAGATAATCACCTCCCAACAAAGGATTCTCCCAGGTAGGAAGCAGCCAAGCCTTGAAGCTGCAAGGCTATTCAATGCTAATCAAGGTGCTCAATTGCAACATTTCACACTTGCCTCCTTCATCCACCCTGGACATTATTCCACAGGTATAGAAACCCCACTTGCCTAGTTTCCATCAGACCTCACAACCTCTGAAGATGCCTGCCATAGATGCGGGTGAAACGTCAGGAGATAATGCTTCTGGAACATGGCTAGACAGCCCGGAAAACTCACAACAACCCACCCGTTTCACTCCCCGTGTTGTTGGAAAAGCTTTGGTCAGAGAAACATTTCTGCCAACTCTGACTTTCTTTTCTGTGTTAATTCCTGTATCAATCTTTATAGTCTATGATCAACATCAGAATTCCATTCTGCGCTCCAAGATTACACCAAAACAATCCTTGACAAGGTTTTTGAATGACAACCAAAACCATTATTTTGGAATTCAGACACTGTTCTGACTAAACGTTTATCTTCAATGAGCTGCCGAAGCTGTAGACCGTCAAGCACCCAGGAAATGCCAAAATGAGATACTTGAAACGGTCTCTTTCAGTTGGCAAAGCTTTACCAAATTGCTTCACAAGACCCAGTTTTGTGTGCAGAGGTGGGAATATAATGTTCTTTCTGTCAACAAGTGGTTCATGTAGAATCTTTGGATCACCAGTTCTGAGGTCAGATCTTGGAGGCCAACGTGACTCCACCCAATGCTTCTCATGAGCTCCGCTGTCCCACATACACAAAAAAACATGGTGTATCCATGTTGCTGAACAAGAAGGAAGCAGATCATTTTAAGGTCAACATATAGATGTTAAGGTTAACATCTATATGAATGATTTAATGCCTTGTTTAGCAGAAATGGACTCTCCTTCACCCGTAATCAGGAACAGAAAGGTCTGCATCCTGATGTACGCAGACAATCTGGTGCTCATCCCCCTCTCTCGGTTGGGTCTTTAAAAAATCTTCTGAAGGCTTTCAGGACCTACAACCAAGAGGAATATTTGCCAATACTTACTCCAAGACCAAGATTTTTGGCAAACGCTGCCCCAGATACCAAAATTATCCAGAAACTCTTTGCAGAACTTCAAAATGCTTGGTTGTAACATGAGCATCAAGGTGCATTTTCTGCATAGCAATCCTGCTGACTTCCCAGAAGATCTTGGTACGGTCAGTGATGAGCAAAGTGAACTATTGTTAGAGCATCAGGCAAGATTGTCTACAGATAATCCATCTGTCTGTCTGTCTGTCTGTCTATCTGTCTATCAATCTATCCTTCCACCCACCCACCCATCCATCCCTGTATTTATTTATCTACCTGTCTGTCTTTCTATCTATCCATCCATCCATCCCTCTATCTATCTATCTATCTATCTATCTATCTATCCATCCATACATACATCCCTCTATCCATCCATCCACCCCCACCCCCCCCCCATCCATCCCTCTATTTATTTATCTACCTGTCTGTCTTTCTATCCATCTACTATCTATCTATCTATCTATCTATCTATGTATCTATCTATCTATCTATCTATCTATCTATCTATCTATCTATCTACCTACCCATCCACCCATCCATCCCTGTATTTATTTATTTATCTATCTATCTGTCTGTCTTTCTATCCACCCATCTCTGCATCTATCTATTTATCAATGCATATATACATACATACATACATACATACATACATACATCAATACATCAGTTCCTCTATCCATCTATATATGTATCTATGTATCTATGTATCTATGTATCTATCTATCTATCTATCTATCTATCTATCTATCTATCTATCTATCATCTATCTATCCATCCATCCACCTACCCATCCATCCCTCTATCTATCTATCTATCTATCTATCTATCTATCTATCTATCTACCTACCTACCTATACATACATGCATGTATTTATCTGTCTGTCTATCCAACCATCCATCCCTGTGTGTATGTAAGTATGTATCTAGCGATCCCTCCCTCCCTCTTTCTATACATGCATATATCCCTGTATTTATCTGTCTGTCTGTCTGTCTATCCATCCATCCATCCCTCTATCTATCCATCCATTCATCTAGAACAGGTATCGGCAAACTTGACTCCTCCAGGTGCTTTGGACTTCAACTCCTTAGGAATTGTGGGAGTTGAAGTCTAAAGCACCTGGAGGGCCCATGTTTGCCCAGGCCTGATCTAGAGGTCATGGCCTTTCCAAAGGCTGCCTTTGTTCTTTAGAGACTCCTAATGTTTCAGACTTTCAGGTAAAACTAGACAATGCCAAGGACTTGATGGGAGGAAGCTCCTTGCCACTCCCCCATTGGCTGCCTTGACGCCCCTCCCTTCCTAGAGGAGCAATAAAAGGGGTGTGAAAGAGGGTGTCCGTACAGCAAAGCTAAGCCAAGCACCATGTGGCAGCTGCTCCTCCTTGGCTTCCTCTCATGCGGCTCAGGTGAGCATCAAGGCGGGGAGGCAGTGCATGCAGGGGAAGGGAGATCCAAAGGGGAGCACCTGGTGCAGGTGGGATGCTGCTACTACATAGGGATGCACCACCAAAGGTTTCCACACCCAAGAAGAGGTCTAGACCTTGGTTTCCTAGCCTCCCACTCAAGTCCTACCTCAAGTTCGGTGACCATGGTTTCTCATCAAGGGACAGAGGTCAACTGGTTGACCATTTTGCTCTGCTCCTAAAGGCAAAGGAGAATTCTGCCCCATCCAAAGCATTAAAGGTGCCCCTATCTTCCTCCATGCATGCGGCTGGGTCCTCAGTGGCACTCTGGAGAAGGGCGACATGCATTTGCTTTGCTTGCATGGGGCTTTTCAGACTGAAGTTCTGTACGCTTGAATGGCCAAGCAAAAAGACATGGGATTGTGCCATTCCTCATGATGAAACTGCAGGACTCCAAACAGGCCCTTGTCTTGGATCCCTGATTCCGTATCAGCCGATATCCATTCTGTCCGGCCACTTCTGGAAGAGAGAGGAGGCATTGAATACTTGAGAGTGGCTGGGGTTTTGAACAGAGCTTTGCTTCACAAATGCCTTAATCCAGTTTCAGTCACAGGTATTATCTATCTGTTCATCTATCCATCTATATATTCACCTAATTACAGTATTTATCTATGTTTATCTGTCCATCTATCTTCTATCATCTTTCCTCTCTCTGCCTCTATCTATCTATCTATCTATCTATCTATCTATCTATCTATCTATCTAGCCAAGCACTATCTATCTATCTATCTATCTATCTATCTATCTATCTATCTATCTGATCACCTATCTTCTATCATCTGTCACCTCTCTCTCTCTCTCTCTCCATCTATCTATTCATCTGTTTGTTTGTCTATTTATCTATCCAGCCAAGCACTATCTATTCATCTGTCTATTATCTGATCATCTATCTTCTGTCATCTCTCTCTCTCTCCATCTTCTATCACCTATCTATCTATTCATCTGTCTGTCTATCCAGCCAAGCGCTCTCTGTCTGTCTGTCTGTCTGTCTCTCTGACCATCTATCATCTCTCATATCTCTCTCCATCTCTCCTCTATCCATCCATCCATCCATCCATCCATCTATCTGTCTGTCTATCCAGCCAAGCTCTATCTGTCTGTCTATCTCTCTGACCATCTATCTTCTATCATCTCTCATATCTCTCTTCATCTCTCCTCTATCCATCCATCTGCCTGTCTGTCTATCCAGCCAAGCTCTATCTATCTATCTATCTATCTATCTATCTATCTATCTATCTAGTATCTATCTATGTCTCTCTGACCACATATCTTCTATCATTGGTCAACTCTCTCCCTCCATCTATCTTCTATCATCTCTCATATACCTCTCCATCTCTCCTCTATCCATCAATCTATCTGTCTGTCTATCCAGCCAAGCTCTATCTATCTATCTATCTATCTATCTATCTATCTATCTATCTAGCCAAGCACTGTCTATCTATCTATCTATCTGATCATCTATCACCTCTCTCTCTCCATCTATCTATTCATCTGTATGTCTGTCTATCTGTCCAGCCAAGCACTATCTATCTATCTATCTATCTGATCATCTATCTTCTATCATCTGTCACCTCTCTCTCTCTCCATCTATCTATTCATCTGTATGTCTGTCTATCTGTCCAGCCAAGCACTATCTATCTATCTATCTATCTGATCATCTATCTTCTATCATCTGTCACCTCTCTCTCTCTCCATCTATCTATTCATCTGTATGTCTGTCTATCTGTCCAGCCAAGCACTATCTATCTATCTATCTATCTATCTATCTATCTATCTATCTAATCTCTCTAACCATCTATCTTCTATCATCTCTCATATCTCTCTCCATCTATCCTCTATCCATCCATCTATCTGTCTTGTCTGTCTATCCAGCCAAGATCTATCTATCTATCTATCTATCTATCTATCTATCTATCTATCTATCTATCTATCTATCTCTATCTATCTATCTATCTATCTATCTATCTATCTATCTATCTATTTATCTAGTATCTATCTATGTCTCTCTGACCATCTATCTTCTATCATCGATCAACTCTCTCCCTCCATCTATCTTCTATCATCAATCTATTCATCTATCTGTCTGTCTCTATCTGTCTGTCAGTCTAGCTATGCAGCCAAGAACTATCTATCCATCCCTATCTCTCCTCCATCCATCCATCCGTCTGTCTGTCTGTCTATCCAGCCAAGCTCTATCTATCTATCTATCTATCTATCTATCTATCTATCTATCTATCTAGTCTCTCTGACCATCTATCTCCTATCATTGGTCATCTCTCTCCCTCCATCTATCTTCTATCATCTATCTATTCATCTATCTGTCTATCTCTGTCAGTGTAGCTATCCAGCCAAGCACTATCTATCCATCTCTATCTGACCATCTGTCTTCTATAATCTGTCATCTCTCTCTCTCTCTCTCCATCTATTTTCTATCTATCTATTCATCTGTCTGTTTGTCATCTGTCTATCTATCCAGCCAAGCTCTATCTATCTATCTGTCTATGTCTCTCTGCCCATCTATCGTCTGTCATATCTCTCTCCATCTGTCCTCTCTCCATCTATCTGAGAATGGTAGCGTTGGGCGCAGGGCCATTGCCTCCTCCAGAAGGAAAGAGGCTCAATGCTTGAGAGTTGAGCAAATAGACGGAAGGAACAGCTCTTTCCCCTCAATGGTGCCTTTTAAGAGCCGGGCTGGGGGAGCAAGCAGGAAGCAAAGCGGAAAATGGGAACTCTCCACCACTGGAATATGTTGCTGTCAAAGAGTCCAATTGAACCTCCTTCTCTGGACACTTCTGAGGAATCTGGATTGCCATCTGTTGGGTGGGCTTGGATGATGTCCTCCTCCCTGGCAGAAAGGGTTTCGTCTAAATCAGCATTTCTCAACCTGGGGGTCAGGACCACTGGGGGAGTCGCGAGGGGGTTTCAGAGGGGTCGCCAAAGACCATCAGAAAACATATATTTCTGATGGGCTGAGGAATCCCTTTGGCAGAGAAGGTTGAAGATCTCTCCACCTGTCCTTCTCTTCCTTTTTGGAAACAGACGGCGAATCCTACCACCAAAAGCCCTCCTCTGCTGTGATTGTTTCTGAGACTTCAAGTGGGGGAGGGGAGAGCAGATGTGCTTGGTGCATGGCACAAAAGTTTGCTCATGCCTGATCTATCCTCTTTCTCTCTCTGTCAGTCATATCTATGGCCATCTATTGGGAGGGTTTGGATAGTGCCTTCCTGCCTGGCAGAAAGGGCTTCAGATTGGATGGTCCTTGGGGTTTCTTCCAAGTCAATGATCATATTATCTGTCCAAAATATTCAAAATTAACTGGTATTTTTAATTACAAAAATGTGAGTCAAGTAGTGAATGGGTTAAATGGATGCAATGACAGCAAAAGCTGCAGCACTATATTCTTCTATGATTCTATGAACAGCACCCTCCTCTTCTTCCTCCTCCATTGCAACTCCACTGACCCTTCCTTGCCTTGCCTTCCCTGTCCAGCTGCTTCAGCCTGGACTCCGGTGGAGGAGGGCTGTCCCCAAGGCCCTGTGTTCTGGTGCAGAAACCTGGTGACAGCCGTCCAGTGTGGGGCCCTGGGCCATTGCATGAAGGCCGGATGGGACCCCAACACCAAGGTAGGACCCCGTGCTCTTCCCTCAAAGGTAAAGGTTTCTCCTTGACATTAAGTCTAGTCGTGTCCGACTCTGGAGGGTGGTACTCATCTCAATTTCTAAGCCGAAGAGCCAGCATTGTCCGTAGACACCTTCAAGGCCATGTGGCCGGCATGACTGCATGGAGCCCGTTACCTTTCTGCAGAAGCGGTACTGTAGTGAAATTGCTACTCTATGTTAAAGTTCCCAGATAGGGAAGAATAGGTAGACAGGGTAGCAACAGCAGAGATAGGATTCATTTGCATATGTGAAGCCGATTGGTCATATGCAGATTAGCGTAGGCCCAGGATTTGAAAAGGCTGCTAGGCCAAAATGACAGTTGGAGTGAGAGAGCTGAACATTCCAAAGGGGCGGAGCCAAGGTACTGAAAGAGGCAGTTAGAGTGAGAGAGTTTGAAAATGACAGTTAGGAATCTGTGTATGAAGAGGAGAGTTGGTTTTTGAGTGCCTGATAGAAATAAGCAGTTATGAAGATGTGTTAAAGACTTCTGATATAGAGAAGCAGTTAGTTCAATAGAGCTTGAGTTTTAAGAAACATAAAGAAGGCTAGTGTTGCCTGAGTCAGAATATAATTCAGCCAAGAGTGTGTAAAACAAGTAACATGTTTGTGAATGTGAAACATTGAAAGTTTATTCAGAAAAGGAAACCAAGTAAATGATACTGACTGTAAGACTCAAGATTGCAACAAAACACAAATGTAACCACAAGCGTTGAAGTCAGAAGATATAAATAAACTGTGTTACTTCGTTACATACAAGAGTGTTTCATTGCCTGTGACATAAAGCACAAAGGTTTAACAGCACACAGAATGTCCCAGCCATTCTGCTAGGTTGGCAGAAGCTGGGCCTAACAGTGGGAGCTCCCCCCGCTCCCCAGATTAGAACCACCAACCTTTTGGCCTGCAAGCTCAGCAGCGCTGCTGTGCCAGCAGGAGGCCCAATAGAATGAAGATAGAACAGAAGAAGAGATAAAATAACAATAATAAAGGAACAGGAAGCTTAGTTAAATGCCTCCTATCATGCCAGCATCCTCTTGGCTCCACCTTTTAGATAGTAAATGAATAATGATGGGGAGATATTGGAAAAATAGATATTTATTTATGCATATATTGTATGTACTTTACAAGAACTGAAATGTATAGAAAAATCAGGTTCTCTCTGTGTAAGAAAGCCAGCAGGACAGAGAAGGAATGTTAAATGGGGGAGGAGAAGGGGGGCATGTTATCTATACATTCTACAGAGACTGGTACAATATAGCGTTTAACTTCTAAGTAAGGATTCTATCTCTCTCCCTCCTGACAGGTCAAAGTAGGCCCCTTGATTGAGGAATGTAAGCTGTAAGCTGTATGCTGCTCTTTAGAAAGAAATACAGAGACATGCCTTTTGCATGTTGGAAGATAGAATTTGATATTTCTATGATGCTAAGGTGATGAAATGATGATGTCAATGTATGTAGAAGCATGTTTTTTTGTTTGCCTGCATTTGGAGAGGTATGAAAGGCAGTTAACGCCTTTATCGGGCACTCTGGTTGCTTTTGGACACAGCTCCACTCCAGGGTCCCAGCTGGAAATAAAGCCATACTTTTCTTTCTCCAGAAAGGATCTCTCTTGATATTATCTCTCCTATCATGCTGCTACATTAATAATGTGCATCTTGTTAGTCGCAGTTTGAACAGAATGGAAACGAGGGGCAAAGCAGACTTTGTGTTTCGCTTTGTGTATTGAAGGGGGAAATCAGTGCAGCAGAAATATCCTTGCAATTTATTGTCGAAGGCTTTCATGGCTGGAATCACTAGGTTCTTGTAGGTTTTTTCGGGCTATAGGGCCATGTTCTAGAGGCATTTCTCCTGACGTTTCGCCTGCATCTATGGCAAGCATCCTCAGAGGTAGTGAGGTCTGTTGGAAATAGGAAAATGGGTTTATATATCTGTGGAATGACTGGGGTGGGGCAAAGAGCTCTCTGCTGAAGTTAGGTGTGAATCCTTGCAATTCCTGGAGGATGCCCTCTTCTCTTGCAGGAGGACCTGTGCGCGGACTGCAAGCAAGTCGTCTCCATCCTGATCCGCATGGGCAAGGAGTCGGCCTTGAAAGTGAGGAGATAAAAATGGCACGACATTTCTTGTCGTGGAAAAAATGCTGTTTGATGAACATGTGGAATATTGATAACATCTGAGTTGTGACTGTGAATGTCATGATGCGATACCTAGGGTGGTAATGGCAGAGTCATAACCATGTATCACCCAATGTCCCTTAGTGATGACCTGTCAGCAGGTGGCTATAATAATAATACTAATAACACTTGATTGATTGTATTTAGATCTTTTTTTCTATGTAATTTTGATGATGTTGCTTGTTGTTTATGTTTTGGTTTTATTTTGTTGTAATATGCCTCATGTAAGCTGCTCCGAGTCCCCACTGGGGAGATGATGGCGGGGTATAAATAAAGATTATTATTATTATTATTATCATCATCATCATCATCATCATCATCATTATTATTATTATTTTCCGCCCTATCTCCCCAAAGGGACTCAGGGTGGATCACAGTACACATACACAGCAAACATTCAATGCCATTTGGTCAGACAGGACAGAGACAGACAGAAAGAAGGTATGTTGTGTCGACATCCAGCTTTTTGGCACCTTGGAGGTTGTGGTCTATCCAGCAGAAGAGAGGGTGCTGTCACTCCATTCTCTATGACAAAAAACCATCAGGACTTCCTCCTTCCTTTTGGTCGCCAGGCATTTTCTGATCTCTTTCTTTTTATGGTGTTGTAAAATACCTCTCCTGCTTTTTAGCGGTACCTAATTCTCTACTTACAGCTCTAAGCTGTTTTCAAATTGCTTAGGTCAACAGCAAGCTGGGCTCACACCGACCCAGGACTTCAAACTGGCAATCTTTTCGTTGGTAGATATTATCGCTGCTGTGCTGTCGTGCGCTGGGCCTGTGACACTGTCTGTTTATAGGACGTGCTTTCTGTATGCCCAACGGGACGCCGGGGTGCCTCAGATAAAGGGTCCCACAAGTTTCCCAAAACAAAGTTCTGTAGAGGCTCAGAATAAGTCCAACAAAGTTCTTTATTAAGGCTGAAATCTTCGAACAAATGAATAAAATGTCATATAATCTTGAAAAAACTGGTAGCTTTCTCGATCTGCCAACAAGGGACAGGCAACTGCTTGATAAACTGTACCTTTCCTCTTTAGAGAAACCTTCCGACTTCTCCTTGGGCAATCTTTTTTAACCCTGCTGGCATGAGGCCCCAACTCCCGGCTCCAAGCTGTGTTATGGATAGCCCGAGTGGTCCCTTACCAGGCAATGGTTGCTGCAGATCTGCCAAGCTGGTGTCCTTTTAGTTTCTCCACGAAGGCTGTAGGAACTATTTCTTTTGCCCAGCAAAGGCTGGCTGTATTCCTCCAGCAGAGCTGTAGAATTGTAACTTTACTCCCCAGCAAAGCTTCCCTTTTCCCCCAGCAAAGGCTGGCAGTAGATCTATTTCTTTAACCCCAGAAGAGCTGTAAGAAGCGAAGCTTTTTACAGGTGGGGTAGAGAGAAGCCCACACGTCCTACTGTAAGGCTTCAAACTGTGAGACTGAACTGAAAGTGCCCTTTTCCCTCCAAAATCTGGGAAAGGGGCGGATTTAAAGGCTCTAATGATAATTGATAGGTTGTTGGCCCTATGATTGCAACCTGGGGAAAGCTACCCAATTGCAAAATGCATAGCCCAAATGGATTAATTCAAACTAACAGTGCAAGAAAAAGAAACTCAAAACACCTGGCACAGCCGTGCCAGCAGAGCTGCTGGTGATTTACTATCTGTGCTAAAGTCTGGCTCTTACCCGGCTACCAAAGGGGGATGAATGCTTCCATCTCTCTCTCTCTTGCATGACTCAGTGTGAGTATCTGTCTATTCTGTATGTGACTCTCTAAGGATCTGATTGTCTGTAAGGACAAGCCTGAAAGCAGATTGCCGTATCCTGATTGTACATTTGTGTTGCAACCCAGAGCAGGAAACTGGACCCTCAGACAACAATCCACCACACTTGACTTCAGGAAAACAATCCTTTTTTATTGATGAAAGATGAATACAAAATAGAGGAAATATGCAAAGGTAAAAAGTCACAGTAAAAATCAGCAACAAGAAATGTCCATAAACAAGATCATAAAACCCACAGCAAAACTGCTGAATCCTGGAACCTGTTAGCAATCCACTAACCATACTTGGAACAACTAGAAAACCTCCGAGGAACAAGGCCACTTGAATCAGGAGACCTGCAAAAGCTTGCACATGAATCTGGAACGATGCCTGGTCTGAAGCTGCATTCAGGCCAGGCATACTTAAGGCCAAGAAATGTATTGCGAGACACGCCTGAAGTTTTTGTTTGCATTTCTCTCAATCTAGCTGACCTATGTAAACTTTCTGCTTCTCCCCAGCTCTGCCAAATCTGCCCCCGCCTATCCTCATTAGGCAGACCAGGTGTCAAATTCTCTGGAGAACTAAGGCTGGGGGGAAAAGGGAATGAAACTTCTCCGCTCAGCTCGGAATGCATGTTCTCATGGGAATTTTGACTTTCACTTTCCAAGGCTGTAGGATTTTCACTACTCAAACCATCATCATCTAAATTGGCCTCAGAATTCACATTGACATCTACATTGGCATCAGGAAATACAATCAGAGAATCAGGTTCAGGTTCACACACAGGCTGATCCCCAACAATTTGCCTATATTACAACAGTGAATATTAAAACCTCCGGATATTTATAACCTGAATCTATGTGTGTAGATAAGGTCAGATGCTGGAAATTGGACTCTGCTGATAGGTGAGCTGAAGCACATATGTTTGCTGTGAAAGGACTCTGCTGTATTTTTGCTTGCTTCTGGGACACTTGCTATCCAGCTTGCGGTGGTTCAGGGAGGTTGTGATTTCATAATTTCTCTCCCTTCTTTCCTTCTTCCTTCCTCTGCTGAAGGCCATCCAGAAGTCCCTGGAGGACGAGTGCAAGGACCTCCCTTTGCAGACTTTGGCCCCACAGTGCAAGTCTCTTGTGGACACCTACTTTGCCCAGTTCATCGCCATCTTGGAAAAGCAAATGGCAAGTGACCGCCTTCCTCTCCTCTCCACAAAGGGCTACCTCTCCCCTTCTGTGTGGCTGACCCAACCCAGGCCTTGGAGGTCCCTTGACAGGGATTTGCCAGGGAAGGGGTCTGCCTCAGGTCCCATTCACTGCTAGAGGAAGCCTTGGGGACTGTGCCCCTTTAGGACGGATTGGCAGTTGGAAGGAACATAGATAGCAATCACATAGCCAAAAATTAGAACGACAGTACGTGGCAAAACAATATTAAAACCCAACAATATTGAAAACCAGTTCCATCTCATTGCATCATGGGATTTCTGTGATTCACAACATTCTAGGTTAAGCCATATGTATATCCCATCATCCGTGGTCCAACCTCCCACAAATAGCACCAGGACATTTCTAAAATGAAGTACAATTTTAACAAATATAAACTTATTAGTATTTCAATGGGAAGTATGGGCCTGCTTTTGGCTGATGATATAGGTTTGTTGTTGTTGTTGTTGTGTGCTTTCAAGTCGTTTCAGACAGGTTGACCCTGAGCGAGGGCTGGGTAAATGACCTTGGAGGGCCGTATCCAGCCACTGGGCCATAGTTTGAGGACCCCTGATGTAGGTGAACTACAACTTCTAGAAATCATGGTGAATTCTTCCCAAACCTCTTGTTCAGTTGCTGATCAATTCCTGTTTGCTGTGTCCCATAGGAATGGGTAGGAAAGGGTTAAGGGAGAGGCATTGGGTGGGGTCATGCAGATTCTACACCAATGGAAAGAGTAAGGAACCCTGGGATGTCCATTCTGGAAGAAAAATATATAGGATGAAATTGTTTCCAAATGAAAGCCTTCTTGGGTGGCAGGCAGTATGGTGTTTGGGGAGGACATCGGCAGGGGTTGGGCTACATGTTAATGGCGCCCGATGTAACCTGAAATGTCCTTGGAGGGAGGGCTTCGATGGCTCCTTAGCACTGTGGGTTATAGCTCTTTGTGGAGGTGGGAGGCTGTCTGTGTAAGTGGACACCTCCTGCCAAATACACACATACATATTTTCACTTTTATTATGTAGATGGATAGATAGAAATAAAGATAGAGAGAGAGAGAGAGGCTGTAGAGCAGTGCTTCTCAACCTGGGGGTTGGGATCACTGGGGAGGGGTCGCAATGGGGGAACACCAAAGAGAGGTCACCAAAGACCATCTGAAAACACAGTATTTTCTTTTGGTCATGGGGTTTCTGTGTGGGAAGTTTGTCCAATTCTATCGTTGGTAGGGTTAGGAATGCTCTTTGCTATAAATCTCAGCAACTACAACTCTAAGTCTATTTTCCCCAAACTCCACCAGTGTTCACATTTGAGCATATTGAATATTCATGCCAAGTTTGGTCCAGATCAATCATTGAGTCCACAGTGCTGTCTGGAGGTTGGTGAACTAAAACTCCAAAACTCAAGGTCAATGCCTACCAAACCCTTCCAATGTTTTCTCTTGGTCATGGGAGTTCTGTGTGCCAAGTTTGGTTCACTTCCATTAGTGGTGAAGTTCAGAATGTTCTTTGATTGTAGGTGAACTATAAATCCTGGCTATTACAACTCCCAAATGAGAAAATCAACCCCCTAACCCCACCAGTATTCAAATTTGGGCATATAGTGTACAGTATTTGTGCCAAATTTGGTCTAGTGAATGAAAATACATCCTGCAAATCAAATATTTGCATGACGATTCATAACAGTAGCAAAATGACAGTTATGAAGTAGCAACAAAAATAATTATATGGTTGAGAGTCACCACAACATGAGGAATTGTATTAAGGGGCCACGGCATTAGGAAGGTTGAGAAACACTGCCATAGAGCATGATTTCTGTCTTCCAAACCATAAAGATGTTTGGAATCCTCAAGCTCCTGTGCGCTTTGGAGAATTCCTTTCAAGACAGTAAGTGTATTTCTTACAGCAACCCAGTCGATGCACAAAGGGACCTTACACTGACACCTTCGGGAGACAGAAAAATCCTTCGCAGGAAGTTTTGAAACAGAGCTTGGAGGCCCACCTCTTGGAGCACCTGGCCTGTGGATCTCCTGCCTCTGAAGCTGTTGGTCCTTCCAGCCTTCCTGATGCTCTCTCAGCTGAGGCTTCTCTGTCTTCCAGGCTCCTGGTGCCGTCTGTGCAACACTGAGCCTCTGCCCGCCTGACCTGTTGGCAGCAAAGGAGGATGCCCTCGAAGCGCTGTTTGCTGAGATCCGGGGACACCTTCCAGCCCGCAGCCAGACTCAGGTGAGGCTGCTCCTTCTCCTGTGGCACTGGCTCTTCTATGGGGCATCCGGGGATCATTGTGGCGAGGCTAGGCAGAAGACACTCCTTTTCTGTACCACTGAAAGGCTACAAAATGGGGAGGCAGAGCCACAACCAGCATCAGCAGCCCTCCGTCATTAGCACTGCAGTCCTTTGTGGGGGTCCTGAAAGACAAAGGGGTGCAGGAAGAGCCTAGCTGGATCCACTTGGAAGCCACTGGCTAGGTGGATACGATGGACCAGAACTTCTGTGGTGCAGCTTAGGCAAGGCACCATGCTCACCAAGTGAAGGATGCACCCATTCTTCCAAATGAGAGCCCTTCTCTGGCCTTAATGCTTCTCTTCCCTGGCCCTATACACTGATGGGGGACTTCCTTTTCCTAGAAGAGCCCAGAGGACACATTTCCGATCCCGCTGCCCACCTGCTGGTTGTGCCGGTCCTTTGTCGGAAAGGCTGAAGCCCTCATCCCAACGGTATGGCACTTGCTGCTCCGCCATGGAATCAGAGGGAAGTTGGGGCTCCTGGGCTCCTTTGAGCCATTTTTGAAGGAGGGCAGGGAGAGGCTGGGTAACGTATTTTTATTTTTGGGATTTTAATGTCACTGTTTTTTGGTGTTTTTCTTTAATTGATGGTCACTCCTTGGGTTAGTGGCCAAATTTAGTGGCAATTCATCCAGCGGTTTTTAAGTTATGAAGTCACTAAAAATGAACAGAATCTGTGTGTGTGTGTATATATATATACACATATATATATACATACACTAGCCGTCCCCTGCCACGTGTTGCTGTGGCCCAGTCTGTGTATATGTGTTTTGTGTGTGCTTCCTTGTAAATCTGCCAATGTATAGTTCCAAAACTTCCATAACGCCAAAACACCAAGGATCAAATCCTTGTTTTCCATACAGCAGAACATGACTCCCTGCAAACGTATCATGACTTCAAAAGACACTCCTTCCTCTTCCCTTGAGAAAGAAGCCCAAAGTGTACAGAATCCTGTTTTCCCATAGCAGATCTGACACTTTCCATAGATACACCATCTCTCTCCTTCCCATACAGCAGAGGGGTGGGTGAGCCAGACTCCTCTGGTCTGCCACACTTGAGAATTATTAGATTGAGTCTTTTATAGGAATAAAATGCTGATGTCATAGATAATTGTCCTGTGTGAAATTATCTTCCCTCTTCACCTCCTGACATAGATGTTGATCTTCAGGTAACGAACCATTGTGTTCTGGGTTTGACTTGAAGGAGCATTGTCTTTGACTAATGTAAACAGCCTTTAGAGTTAATCCAGTTTCTGGTCAGCAAATATTGACAGGTATGAACAGATGTAAATTTCTCTTATCACTGTCACAATTCTTATCACAGTTTACTTTTGGCAGATCAACCATTTCAGTTCTCATTAGCAGCTTTTAATTACAGTCCATCTCCTCAGAAATCATCCACGACTGGCAGCTTCAGGAACAATGAGTTACTCTTCAAATTTTAAATGTGGACTTTGTTGTGGTGAAATCAAGTTAATGTTTAGGTGGGGATAGCCCAAGACCAGTTAATAAATCATTACCATTTCCTCAAAGCAACAGCATAGACGTTGATTCTGTGGGGTTCCTTGCTCAAACAGGAAAGCACCCAAGCATCCCCCAAGCTGACAGAAAGTTAGGACACAATAATGCTAAAGAGACATTTAAAGCAGCTTTGGTGGTTGGCACAACCCTTTTCAGCCATCCAAGGGGACACTCAAGCTCTTTGAATGGAGATTCAGGGCCAGCAGCTGACTTCACACACCCTTCTTTTGTTGTTTTTCCCTTGAGGCTACCATCGGCACCACTGTGGCCCAGCTCTGCCGTGTCCTTCCGGTGTCCATGGGGGGCATGTGCCAGTGTCTGACGGAGAAATACAGCGCAACCATCCTAGACATGGTCCTGGGCAAGGTGGGCCCGAACCTGATCTGCGGGATGATGCTCATGTGCGCCACGGAAGATGGAAGCCCAGGTATGCTCTGAGAGGGTTTGTGGGGCTGCATAGATGGAAGGTGTGTTCCAGGACAATGTTCACACTTGAACTCTGCAGAAGTAGATAGGAAACAAGTTTTTGTTGCCACCCGGATAGTGCCTTCCTGGTCAGAAGAAAGTGTTGGCTGCACTCCTATGCGCATGCACACAGGCTTTATGGAAAGAGACAGAAGCACCAGCCAGGGCCCAATAGGATCCAGTGTGAAAGGGCATTGATCCTCAGGCAAGCAAGGGAGGTCTGTCTTTGTTGTATGTCAGCCTGTGATTGTGCCTGCTGTTCATGATGGGAAAGATGTTTATGTTGATGTTTATGATGGGAATGTGCTTGATGGGAATGGGTGTTGCACTCCAGACCAGGAAAAGCTCTCTGACTTTAAACACCACATAATTGAGTAGAAATGTAATCCGTCTACTGAAGATAATTAAAAAACAGTAAAAGTAAAAAGCACTTTAAAGGAATAGGTAAATCCAATTAGGTAGGAAGATAAGCCGGAACAAAATAGTCCAGGGAATTAGTCCATCAAAGTTCATGAAAAACAAAGGCAGAAACTTCTATAGTAAAATCCAAAAAACTGAAAACATGAATCCAAAGCACTTAAACACATAATCATAAAATCCCAAAATTAAAAACATGAATCAAAGACACTTAAACATGAATCTTTCCAAAGCAAGGCTTCTAAGGAACAGGGATGAGATCTTGACTTGATTCCAAACGATGCTACAGATCCTGTATTTGGGACTTTTATCTCCTCATTAAGCTATGTCCCAAGCGGCCAGAAATTGGTTTCGCTTTAGCCTTGAATGCCTTATCTTTCTTTCTCTGAGCCTGGCAGAATGCTGGAGCCATTGATCTGCTTTCTTATTTTGACTAATAACATCCCGTCTATCTATTTGCTCTGATCTCACTAACATTCCTAGCGAATATACAGTGGAAGTGAAGAACAGATTTGAAGGACTAGATTTAGTAAACAGAGTCCCAGAAGAACTATGGACAGAAGTCCGAAACATTGTTCAGGAGGCGGCAACAAAGTACGTCCCAAAGAAAAAGAAAACCAAGAAGGCAAAATGGTTGTCTGCTGAGACACTGGAAGTAGCCCAAGAAAGGAGGAAAGCAAAAGGAAACAGTGATAAGGGGAGATATGCCCAGTTAAATGCGCAATTCCAGAGGTTAGCCAGAAGAGATAAGGAACTATTTTTAAATAAGCAATGCATGGAAGTGAAGAAGACAACAGAATAGGAAGGACAAGAGACCTCTTCCAGAAAATTAGAAACATTGGAGGTAAATTTCAGGCAAAAAATTGGTATGATAAGAAACAAAGATGGCAGGGACCTAACAGAAGCTGAAGAGATCAAGAGAAGGTGGCGAGACTATACAGAAGATCTGTATAGGAAGGATAATAATATGAGGATAGTTTTGACAGTGTGGTGAATGAATTAGAACCAGACATCCTGAGGAGTGAGGTTGAATGGGCCTTAAGAAGCATTGCTAACAACAAGGCAGCAGGAGACGACGGGATCCCAGCTGAACTGTTTAAAATCTTAAAAGATGATGCTGTCAAGGTGATGCATGCCATTTGCCAGCAAATATGGAAAACAAAAGAATGGCCATCAGACTGGAAAAAATCAACTTATATCCCCATACCAAAAAAGGGAAATGCGAAAGACTGCTCAAACTTCCGTACAGTGGCCCTTATTTCTCATGCCAGTAAGGTAATGCTCAAGATCCTGCAAGGAAGACTCCAGCAATACATGGAGCGAGAGTTGCCAGATGTTCAGGCTGGGTTTAGAAAAGGCAGAGGAACGAGAGACCAATTGCCAATATCCGCTGGATAATGGAGAAAGGCAGGGAGTTTCAGAAAAACATCTACTTCTGCTTCATTGACTATTCTAAAGCCTTTGACTGGGTGGATCATAATAAATTGTGGCAAGTTCTTAGTGGGATGGGCATCCCAAGCCACCTTGTCTCTCTCCTGAGGAATCTGTACAAGGACCAAGTAGCAACAGTCAGAACTGACCACGGAACAACAGACTGGTTCAAGATTGGGAAAGGCGTACGGCAAGGCTGCATCCTCTCACCCAACCTTTTTAACTTGTATGCAGAACACATCATGCGATGTGCGGGGCTTGATGAATGCACGGCTGGGGTGAAAATTGCTGGAAGAAACATTAACAACCTCAGATATGCAGATGACACCACTCTGATGGCCGAAAGCGAGGAGGAGCTGAGGAGCCTTCTAATCAAGGTGAAAGAAGAAAGGGCAAAAGCTGGGTTGCAGCTAAACATAAAAAAAACCAAACCAGACTGATTGATAACAGGGAAATAGAGGTAGAAAACATGGAAGCAGTGACAGACTTTGTATTTCTGGGTGCAAAGATTACTACAGACACAGACTTTAGCCAGGAAATCAGGAGATGCTTCCTTCTTGGGAGGAGAACAATAACCAATCTCGATAAAATAGTGAAGAGTAGAGACATCACACTGGCAACGAAGATCCGCATAGTCAAAGCAATGGTATTCTGTTGAAATTCCCTCTTCTATACAACCATTAGGGAAGGCTGAGCGAAGGAAGATTGATGCTTTTGAACTGTGGTGTTGGAGGAAAGTTCTGAGAGTGCCTTGGACTGCGAGAAGATCCAACCAGTCCATCCTCCAGGAAATAAAGCCCGACTGCTCACTGGAGGGAAAGATACTAGAGACAAAGTTGAAGTACTTTGGCCACATCATGAGGAGACAGGGAAGCCTAGAGAAGACAATTATGCTGGGGAAAGTGGAAGGCAAAAGGAAGAGGGGCCGACCAAGGGCAAGATGGATGGATGGCATCCTTGAAGTGACTGGACTGACCTTGAGGGAGCTGGGGGTGGTAACGGCCGACAGGGAGCTCTGGCGTGGGCTGGTCCATGAGGTCACGAAGAGTCGGAGACACTGAACGAATGAACAACAAAATCTATTTGCTCATTAATTTCTGCTGCTGGGCCAGGTGCCAAGCTGTTCTCAAGCCCCAAATCATGGGAATTCTCTGGTAGCAATTCAGGGAGCACACCATCATCCCCACACCCTTCAGGGACATTCTCATGAGAAAATACACTCCTGATCATTCTCTGCATCAATATAATTGGAAACGCCATTACCTCCATGAACCTCATTGTCATCATTCCCCACATTGAAAGCACCCTGATCCTTAAACACAATCATAGGCTGAGCTCCAACAATGGGGATGATATTTTGGTTGCTGGGCCGTAGTCTGTTGGATTTGGGAATGAGGGGTTGTTTGGGCCTGAGCTAAGCTCAGAAGAGAGGCCTGAGCTGTTTCAGGATTATTCAAAAGGCCACATTCCTGAGAGAGGCCTCTCACCACTTTTCCCAGAGCAACTGTCTGATAATGATGCCGAGATTGATTTACCTAAGGGAGAGGATAATGAAACCTTGTACAGAAAGCAAAGTTTTAGTAAACAGAGGCAGAACTTTCAGAGATTGAAGTAATCACTTCATCTACAGCAAAAGAGACATAAGAAACCATTCTCTAGTGGAAAGGTCAATAAAATCCCTTCCTAGCTTTTTTGGAATCTGGGAAAGGTTTATAATGATTTGTGGGAGACAGTTGCCTCAGTCAAGTCAATGTTGTTCTTTTATCACAGTCTTGCTTTCAAGTGCTCTGAGTTTCATGTATCGAGTTTTTGCCAAGCTTAAGTTTTGTCTATGGGATTTTCCTGCTGTTTTGTTTCATGGTTTCAAGTGCCTAGTTTCATGGATTTCTATGTACTCATTGATCTTGTTTCCCTTTGAAACTGATGGACTATTTTGGATTTTGAACCCTTACTGTTTTACTATGTTTTACTGCTTTGCCTACGCACATTCAACAATAAACCACTTGCTGATTTTACCAAGCTGGTGTGATGTTTGAAGTCAGAAGTGTTCCTGCTCTGGTGTACAACTCTCTTTTAGCTGGGGATTGGGAAGGATTCTGGACACAAGTCACTCAAGAGTCTGGCTCCAGAGGCAAAGACCACCAGGCAAAGCCATGCACCTTCTGCAAAGGGGTGCATACACAAGACACACAAACGGACCCCCAAGGTGTATTGCTCTATCTTTGCAGATATGCTTCCAGCAGCACCGGCACTTGACCTCCCAGTGGACAGCTGCCAGGCTTGCCTCACCATCAGCAGCCAAGTGCAAGGGGCCCTCCAGCAAAACAGCACCCGGGTAGACATGGACCTTGCCCTGCTGTCCGCCTGCAGCCACAGCTTCCTGGGTTGGGAAGAGGTAAGCCAAGACAGAGTCCCCTTCCCCACTGCCACAATCTCAGCCCAATCCCAGCCCACAAACATGGAATGGTGAGCCCCTGGCATCCACATCCTGAGACCCACAGCTCCCAGCATCCCCCATTGTTGGCTGCACTGTTGGGAGCTGCAAATTGCCTGTGAAAACAGTGAGGCTTTTGAGACAGTTGTGGATTGAAGGACATAGAAGGGAGGAACATTACTTGTTCAATAACTGCATCCCTAAACAGAACGGAGATCCTTGAGGTGCAGCTGGTGCCAAGGAAAATGCATCCCTTCAGCTAATATTGTAGCAAGTATAACAATTTTGTAGAGCCATGGACCGTGTTTCCCAATCTATAGTTATAACGAATCGCACCTCACCAAAGAGCTTCTTTTAGCAGGGAGAAGGAACAGGGAATTCTGAAATAGTGAATCCCACAAGCTACCAACAATTATAAGGAACTACACTAAGGATAACACTGCTGTGCCACCAATTACAACGAATATCACAGGAGGGAAATTGACAAAACAGGGAAAGATGTAACTGTATATAGATAGATTTGTATGACGTCTGAACTGAGAGGTTTTTAAAAGGCTTCTTCAATTGAGTACGCTGCCACCTTATTGTTTAGTATTCAGGCTGAATTATATGTGTGGAGAGGGTATTTAGTAACACCCTTCTGAGTTATGATAGTGTTTATTTTCTTCAGAGGGTTTAAATACCAATGACGTTCACACACAGGCTGTTGTAAAGTGTTAACTATAATAAAACGTTTATTTAACAGGCTTAAACTCTTCTGGTACAAATGCGTAATGGTTTCTGTAAGTTAATAGCACAAAAGCTTTTGGCTACATTTGATGTACAATTCTTAGATGGGTACTGGGTTCAAATCTAGAGTTAACAAACAGGAGATTATCTCAGGAAAGTAATCTCTGATGATAATTCCAAACCAAATATCCCACTTTCTGGAATCTAGCCAAACAACCTTGGCCTAGCCTTCCTCAGGAATAAAAGAAACAGACCATAAGCAAGGTCCTGTTCCCACTGTCAGTATTCCTGGCTAATTCCTCTAGCCCTTGAATACTACAAAAGATTAACCCAATTCTCCTATCTAGCACTATCCAACTGTGAACACCAACCGACTACCTAACTCCCAACTGACAAATCCCAACTGCCAAAACTCAAGCCTCAAATTCAAAAAGTACACTTTTTCCTCTATTTGAATATTAGGCTCCGCCCCCTATTCCTAACCAATCCTGGCCATCTACTCTTTGCTTACTGGACTAGGACACTGCCCCCTCTAAGAAAACCTGACCTAAGATGGCGTCTCCCTGTTTCCCTACCCTAAGATGGCCGCCAGGGCTTCACTAGGCCAACATTCTAACTGTTTAAGCCGCCGGGCTTCGCTAGGCCCACATTTTGGCTGCTAAAGGTAACGGTTCTTCACAGTAGTCTTCCAGGTGTTTGGGACTTCAGCTCCCAGAATCCCTGATCATTGGCCTCTGGAGCTGAAGTCCAAAATACCTGTACAGCTAGCATTTGGGACACATGGATCTGACAAACCAAACAGGAGGTACTGGATTGCCTTCCATTACAAGTGTGAGAAGGACCAAGCCCACTTTCTGCTTATGTGTACTTTGTACCCATCACAGCAATGGATGTATTTTTATGGGGTGTCTTCTGAGAGGGGCAGAAGGCGGTTTGCAAGAATTCTTGCGAGGATTTTCCCAGCGGAGGTTAGAAGGGAGATACCTCGATAGTTTCCGCAGTCTGTTCTTTCCCCTTTTTTGAAGAGGGTGATGATGGTGGCATCCTTGAAGGAAAAGAGATTTAAAATGGCCTCAAAGCCAACCTTAAAATCTGTGGCATAGACACCGGGAACTGGGAAGCCTGGCCCGTGCGCTCCAGCTGGAGGTCAGCTGTGACCAGCAGTGCTGCAGAATTTGAAAAGGCACGAATGGAGGGTGAAAGAGAGAAACGTGCCAAGAGGAAGGCGTATCAAGCCAACCCCGACCGGGACCGCCTTCCACCTGGAAACCAATGCCCTCACGGCAGGAGAAGATGCAGATCAAGAATAGGGCTCCACAGGACCAAGCCCACTTTCTGCTTATGTGTACTTTGTACCCATCACAGCAAAGGATATATTCTTATGGCCAATTTCAGAAACACCATTTAAGGGAAATGGAGGAGAGCCCATTCTGGATGCTTGGTCCCTGGTAAGATGTTTTCTTCTCTTTCCCAGTGCAAGCACTTCATCTCCCAGCATCAGGCCCAGCTCTTCACGTTGCTTCCGAAGCCGTGGAGCTCCCATGACATCTGCCAGGTAGGAAGGCATGGCTCAGTGTGGGCTGCCGCCTCCAAGGCCCCTCTGCAGCCCCGGGCTTTTACGACTCAGGCCTTGTCTTTTGCCAACAGGAACTAGGGGTCTGTGCAACCAAGAAGCCCATCCCAGGGGGCACAGCCTGTGCTCAAGGCCCTCCGTTTTGGTGCTCCAGTTGGGCCGCTGCCAAACAATGCCAGGTGAGGAACCTCAGATGCATTTCATCCATTACCTTGTTCAGTTGTCAAAGACAATTCACAGTTCAAGACTTATTCAATGCATAAATGCATGCGGTTTTCACACATTTTTGCACCAACCACCCCAGGTGCATTTTTTCGTAAGTCCCAAACAACAAGGATTTGTAATAGGGGTTCCCAACACTCAGTGTCAGGATCACCGTATCATCCTGGGACTGACTGTTGGGAAAAGACGCAATAATGACCAGGCGGGAGACAGGGTGTAGAAGTGAATGATGATGGCTTTTTTATTGTTGCCCAAGCAAAGCTTATATGGGTTCTGGTGCTCTTCAGCAAAGGTCTGCATAGCAACAGTGGGGGATTACATAATGGCCAGGTGATTGGTTGGACTCTTAAGGGTGAGCTCATCATAGGTGAGGTAGCCTACTACCAGTCCCAGGTCATGATGCCCTGTATACTTTGCCAGAAAGGTTTGAAGCATAAGCGTCAGGGGTCTGGAATTTCCCATGCGCGTCCAAACTAGAATGGCTTGCCACTAATAGCCCAGAGGCGCATCGCTACTCCAAGGGACATAATGATGTCATCACCCCTTCAACTGACTGCTCCAGTTCTCTGCTATAAAGAAGGGATGTGCGGGGAGGGAGGCCGAGTACAGTTGGGAAAGGTAGTGTAAATAAAACATCTGTTTTGTGAGGGAAATTGAAACTGCATTTAACAGACTGTGGGCACAGTGCATGGCCACTAGGGGCAGATGGGAGTTGGAGCCAATATATACAGGAGATTTGAGCGGGAAAACTTTAGAACTGTCTTTTTAGGATTGTGGAAAGGACTAAACCACTTGTCTCATTCTTCCTTCCTCTTCTCCTTCCAGGCGGTCCAGTACTGCCAGGCTCATGTCTGGCTGTAGTCAAAAGATGAAGATGTGTCTGCCTTTGGCTGGAGATCTGCTCCTCTGGCCCCATTTACTTAGACCCGTCCTCCCAACTGACCAGTGGGGCTGGAAAGGACCCCCAAGGGACAGAGGCTCTAATACCGGCCATTATTAAAGTCACTCCCCAAATCATGAAACGAGGAGTCTTTGCCTTGTATGTGGTGCGTCATAGAAAACATGGAGACATCAGCCAGGACCAGACTGTATAGTGACCCCACACTCACTCCTTCTGAGGCTGGGATTTTGCTTTAGAAGGCAAGAAGGGCAGGCTTTCTCGGCTTATACTCGAGTATATACACGGTAGTTCAGTAGTTAATACAGTAATGAAAATTAGAATGATATAAAAACAATATTTACTGGAGCTTTCTGGCTCTGTAAGTGATAAAGTTTTTCCCCTGACATTAAGTCCAGTTGTGTCCAACTCTGGGGGTTGGTGCTCATCTCCATTTCTTTCTTTTTTTAAAAGTATTTTTATTATTTTCTTGATATTTACATTAAAAGGGTAGGAACGATAGGTTTGTAGGATAAAGTGGGAGAGTGAGGAGGGGTAAAGTGAATAGGGAGGGAAAATTTGCTGTAATGGGGGTGGGGTCGATAGGTTACTTCCAGGAGCACCCAGGATGTCTCAGTTAATTGATTTTTTATATACGCATATCTATCTGTATACACACACCTATACATATATATATATATATATATCTACTAGCCATACCCTGTCACGCGTTGCTGTGGCCCACATGGGGGTTCTGTGTGGGAGGTTTGGCCCAATTCTATCATTGGTGGTGTTCAGAATGCTCTGTGATTGTAGGTGAACTACAAATCCCAGCAACTACAACTCCCAAATGTCAAGATTCTATTTTCCCCAAACTCCACCAGTGTTACATTTGGGCATATTGAGTATTCATGTAGAGTTTGGTCCAGATCCATCATTGTTTGAGTCCACAGTGATCTCTGGATGTAGGTGAACTACAACTCCAAAACCAAAGGACACTGCCCACCAAACCCTTCCAGTATTTTCTGTTGGTCATGGGAGAACTGTATGCCAAGTTTGGTTCAATTCCATCGTTGGTGGGTTCAGAATGCTCTTTGATTGTAGGTGAACTATAAATCCCAGCAACTACAACTCCCAAATGACAAAATCTTTTTTTTTTTTGAGTGAAGGACATACATTGGGTTGTTAGGTGTCTTGTGTCCAAATTTGGTGTCAATTTCCCCCAGTGGTTTTTGAGTTCTGTTAATCCCACAAACGAACATTACATTTTTATTTATATAGATCTGTATATACATTTACATGTACATACATATTTCTTGTCCTTGCTTGTTTCCATTGTCGTCTTCATATTAACACTTTCCTTGGATTTCAATTACAGGTTCCTGATATGTATCTCTTTGTTTTCTTCTCTGACAAAATCCAGAAATATTTCCCAGGCCATTCTTTGAGGTTTTGTGTAGTTGTGTGAGATTCTCTGTGTCAGTATGTCCATATTTATTATGTCCATTACTTTCGCCACCCACTGCTCCACTGTGGGGATTTCTTTAGTTTTCCAAACTTTGGCTAGAGTCATCCTTGCAGCTCATATTAGATAGAAAAATATCTTATCCTTATTCTTTTCTATTTTGAAGTCTGTTATCCCCAATAGAAGTGTTTCTGGTTTTGGATTGAATTTTATGTTTAAGAATTGTTCTATCTTTTTGCGTATTTGCAGCCAATACTTTTTTACTTTCCTGCAATTCCACCACATGTGGATAAAGTTGCCTTTGTCTTTTTCACACTTCATCTCCATTTCCATTTCTAAGCAAAGACCCGGCATTGTCCGTAGACACCTCCAAGGTCATGTGGCCGGCATGACTGCATGGAGCACTGTTGCCTTCCCTCCGGAGTGGTACCTATCGATCTATTCACATTTGCAGTCAAATGTAGCCTGCGTCTGCATCTTCCAAGATTTTAAAGAGTTCAGCTGGGATCCCGTCATCTCCTGCTGCCTTGTTGTTAGCAATTCTTCATAAGACCCATTCACCCTCACTCCTCAGGATGTCTGGTTCTAATTCACTCACCACACTGTCAACAACTAGTCTATTTATCTATCTATCTATTTATCTATGGGTATTCCCCATAGTCACCTACGGATGTGAGAGCTGGACCTTAGGGATAAGCTTGTTTTTGAACTGCTAGGCTGACAGAAGCTGGGCCTAACAATGGGAGCTCACCCCACTCCCTGGATTTGGACCTGCGACCTTTCGGTCAGCAAGTTCAGCAGCTCAGTGCTTTAACCTGCTGTGACACTGGAGGCTACTAAGTGACAAACACAAATTCTGGTCGCAAGTGTGGTTTGGGAAGTACCCAGAGAGAAAATGGGATTACAAAATCCATACACACACACACTTTAATGTACAGAGATGTGAGCAGAAGCATCAAACGAAACATGGGAAGAGACTTCTAGCCCCTTCCTCCCTCCTCCAACTCTCGCTTCCTCAGGAGGTTTCTGAGATGGACTCGTTCTCGAAGTGGGGCTTGGCCGCTCCCCCAGAAGCCCCCCCCCATTTGCTGCGTCCTTCCTTCAAGTGGGGTTCTGTCAGGAGCCCCCCTTCATCCCATGGGGGAGGGGCAGGAGGCACAGAGCCAGCAGCAGCTTCTAAAGGGGGCCCCACTCCTCTCAGCAACCCCAGGGAGATCTGAAGTATCTGGGCTCCGCAATAAAATGCAGAGGTGACCAGTGCCACTGTTGGCCTCTTATCACCTTTTGGATAAAGTTCCACCTTTAAGCCCCTTGCTGGTTGGTCTCTTCCTTGTTGTCCCGCCTTTTCCAGATCTGCAGAAACAAGACATGCCCTCTATCGTGATTGTGAGCCCCCTAATTTATTTATTTAAGTTATATCCCACCCTTCTCAC